CTACTGTTCTAACTCATATATATATATATATATATATATATTAATATGAAATTAATTAAAATTATGATTTAGATTAAGCCTGGTCAATGCAATTCATTCTGTAAGCTACACAATAAAAATAGTTTATAGGAATTTTATAAACTAATGTAACAGTTTACCATCATGTGGTATAGTTAAATCTCTACACTAGTTTCTGATGCAAATACTGTTCAGGATCTAGTTTCCCTTACCTGATGTTTCCTTGACACAACATGGTTCAAAGAAAGGAAGGACCAGTAAGGATTTGAGAAAGTAGAGCTGATAATGTAGTATATTTCATGTTATTTATTATGCCTAATGCAGCTAGTGAATGATTTCCTACTTACATAAGTGGGATTCACTAGCTGATGTAATCAGTAGAATAAATATCATCTGATGAGCTTTAAAATGTAATGATTGTGGGTTGGCAGAACTGTTTTAGATGACTAATAATGCTTGGATAAATGTCAAAATTTAGTTTAGGAATGGAAACAAATTTTTGTCTTGGAATGAAAAACTAGAATTTAAATTGATATGATAGAAATTGCTCTCAAAAACTTTTTTATAAAAATATATGCTTGTAAGCTAAAACTATTTTTAAAATTTGCAACATATCTATCAAATTTCATTTCACAATGTTTGAAAACACTGGAGAATTGGAGAAAAATTTAGGATAAAATGATAGATTAATTCTCTATTTAATTTTTGAAAATATTTAAATCTTATTAAATTCTAAAGCTGGAACTATTTTATAAATTGTAGCTTTTCATTTTTATATTTAAATCTATTATGATTAAATGCTAAAAATACAGTTTTTGCATTTATTCTTTTACCTAATTGCTTTTATGTAAATTTTTTTTTGCTTTGAAGCTTATTTTTTATAAGATTTGACTATATTAGATTTAATTTTTTGTTTAATAATTTTAAATTTAACAATATTTATTGTTAAAATATACTCTGTATTATATTAAAATAAAATATTTTTTTCTTAGTTCAAACTGATGATAATATTGAGAAGAAGCAAAACAATTTAAAGGTAAATAATGCATTTATACTATAGTAAAATAATTTAATATTTTTATTGGTGGGCAGTTATTGAACGTATTTAGGTAATGTACTGTAGCTAATGCTTATATCATTTCTCTTTTAATTTTGCAATATTTAAATGAAAATTTATATAAATAAAATTTGTTTTGAAAATTTTAAAATTGNTTTATTAGCCAATCACGATAAACCAATATCGTTTATGACCATCGGACTCCTAGCGAGTAAAATTGGCTTCTCGTCATATACGATAATTTAATAGCTATCCAGAACAGTTTAAATTAAAAAATATATATTTTTTACAATGTATCAAATTTCTTAGCCACAAACTACTATTAACAGCCAATAACACAAATTTCAAATTTTTGCTTTGTGGGATGATGCATATATGCAGCACAGCAACAAAAACAGTGAGATGATGAGACCAACTTTTGCCACAAAACTCAAATTCATGCCATTTTTACTTGAGTGGTGAGATAGATCTGGGCAATACCTGGATCTTTCACAGTGCATATTTTAGACTAGCATTTCTAATGGCTAATAACAGGTTGTTTAGTAATCACTTGCTAAAATACAATGTGCTATTTCAATGGCAGAAGCATCAACAAGACTGCTGTTGATCAGAACAAAGAGGAAGTTATTTAATTTCAATACAGAAACAAACTTAATTCAAATGATAGAATATTATTTTTTTGTGTGTGTTAGGAAAAGCCAAAATTTTAGCACTTTTGCTGTTGACTGATATGATTTTTACATTGTTACATCATCCCAATATGTTGAAGAAGCAATCTTGTCATTCAGATGCTGGAAATTTTTGGTAAATTGCCAGAATTTTTTTGGATGTCATTTATTACTACTTGGATGATGTGTAAGAAAAATTTTAGAGATGATGGTTTATTACTTGGTTTCTTACTTTCCCAGGACATATTTATTTATAATGAGTTTCCTTGGGTGACTCAATTTTGCATTATCACATATAGTTCCATAAAGATTACTGGAAATGAAAAAGTTATTTTATCCTTAATTTATGTGTAATAGTGATATACTTTATGAAAAAATAAATTGGCAAATTTGGTGCAACTTTTTTTTCAATGGCAGCAACAAAATTGTTAATTATATTATCATCAAACAAATGTAATGATTAATTGTAGGAACTGTGTGTATAAAAATGTAACTGTTCATGTGTGTTTATTTCATGCAATGTTTTTTATTTAACACTCTTCACCATGTGGTCACTAAGAGAGTCTTCTTTTTTTCATACTCATTGTAAGTTTGGCCAGGCTTACAATATAGAGACAGTGGGTGATGAGGGCAGTGCTTCAACATATCCAGGACAGATCAATCCCAAAAAATTCCTGGGGGTTTTTGACTACCTGGATTTGATCCTGGGTTCCCAAGAGCAGTAGCCTTCTGGCCTTCCATATCATGCAAAGCACAGTGTTTTCCACTTTTTGTTGCATTAGTGTTTTCCACTTTTTGTTGCCACACTGTATGTTTGCATTATCTCTATGATTGAAAAAAATGAATTTATGAGGAAAGCAATAGTTTTTATTTTACAGTTACTGTTTTTTTCTTAAATTTTATCAGTAATGTTTTAGATGTTGGATTTGTGTAATAGGGAGCATAAACACAATATTAAGATTGACTGTTTGGCTGTTAGTGTTGGAAGAGGAAACATTTGCTTTGCATTTGATCAAATAGGAAAGCATATTTGAAAATTTATTGAAGCTTCAGAAATATTTTTAATGCACTATATTAATTATTATCAAATCCAATAAAATCCATCTAATAAACAAAGCATTGATAAATATATCACACTAATCTTATAAAGCTTTGCAGATATTTTTTAACGTATCACAAACGTTTTTGGTCCAACCTAGGATCTTTTTCAGGTGGAGTTCTACTAGAGAAAACCTTTTCTGGTGTGATTCTGTTCTATTCCATTTCTGATGTGTTCTAATTTCCTTTCAAATTTTCCTTTTTAATTTTAAATTCCTAACAATGTGTGTTTGCATCAACTGTTATAATTCCAGGTCATACATAGCCTGCCACACCCTCAAGAGTTTTTTTGGTCTTTAAATTGATTGAAAGACCTTGGAATTCTGCTTTAAAAATTTCTAATACCTCCAAATTCCTAAGTTGGTGTATATGATGAGTTTGCCGGGTTATGGTTGCTTGTTATGATTTGGGTGTAATGCCATTTTCACTAGCATATATAGCTAAGATAGTAGTGTTTTTCTTCTTTTCAATATCAGTTTTATGCTCATGGAGGCCTTGTTGTTTGAGTGACCTTCTTGTAGATTCGATATATACAAGATCTCTATTGAATCTGTCATCTTTGAGCAGAATTTTATACATTTCTGGTGCTCTTTCAATGTCCTCTCGATCTTTCTCATTCCTCCGAATATATCCAACTTATGTCTGTAGGCTATTTTTGAATTAGTATAAGTCCCAATCTCTTGATATAGGGACTGCATTCTTATCATATGAATTACAGTAGTGCATTGGTTATCCAAATACTGATCAACCAAAACATCAGTTAATCGAAAGCGATCCAGTCGACAAATTCAAATTTCTGCTAGTGCTGTGGTTCTGCAATATTTGGCTATGTTGGGGTTACTCCAATATTATTTTTGTTGGTGTGCATGTTTTAGCTGGCAGCACTGGTGTGACCATATTGTATCATTAAAAATAATTTCTTTATTTTGCACAAACAAAATAAATATATTGAAAAATATAGAAACAAAAAAAAATTATATTTTGGAAGTTAATCTAGTATCAAAAACATTCCAATTCAGCACGACACATGTTGAGAGGGTACTTAAGGACACACCAGTATTTGAATGAAGCTTTTTTCCTCCATTGTGAGTGGTGTGTTTTGCTCCAGTTCATTGGAGAATATAGCCCAAGCAGCTGGCATCTCTAGATAAACCCAAGAAAAAGAAAGAGTTTTGCTTGTTTTGTGTGGTGTTTTTCTGAGGACTGTGTTGTCAGGACTTGTGTCGTGCTGAACTGGAATGTTTTTTGATACTAGATTAACTTCCGAAATATAATTTTTTTTGTTTTTATATTTTTCAATATATTTATTTTGTTTGTGCAAAATAAAGAAATTATTTTTTTTCTTCCTTCTCGATTTGAATCGCTCTTTCATTCTGCTTCTTTCGTTCTGCAGAAAAGCAAGATGAACAATTCTCCAAATGAAAAACTTAAAGAAATTATTTTTAACGATACAATAGCCACGATTATTATTTAAAAAAAAGTTTTGTTAGGCTTAACATTGATGAAAATTCAATGCAAAGTGACTTGCAACAGAGAAAAATTTTAACATGGGATAAGTTAATATATTTTTTGTACATGATCAGTTATCCGAACAACCCCAGTCCCGAATTGTTTCGGATAATTTCTACTGTATATCAATTTCTTATTATTATTTCACAAAACCTAATCTTTTATTTTATATTAATTAATTTTAAGAAAATTATATATATATATATATTATATCAATAATTGAAAGGCAGTTTAGATGACACACACATAAGTTTGTACACTTTATTTTCATACTCTATTCTACAGCCACAGATGAGTGACTGACTAGATCATAAACAAAATATATTTTCTTGATTATTAGAGGAAAGTTGATTGCAGGCACATATTCAGACACAACAATATAAAAATAAATATTTTTGTACTGTGCACTTATATTTGGCTTAAACTGTTTAAAATCTATAATGTGAAATAGATTTATACTGGATTGCATTTTGTTCTCGTAATTGTTATGAGTAAGTATAAAATTGCTTGAGAGAACAAATCATGCAGGAACACAATTAAGATGGGTATACAGGCTTTCATTGAGTTATTAAGATATGCATTTCAGACAACATGCTTCTCATTGGTCCTCTTTTAAATTTTATAGCAATCTTGATGACAGAAATTACATATATGTTATAGATAATTGTGACAACTGGATACCAATGTATAATAAATTTTAAAAATTCTTACATTATTCTTAAATGATGAAATAAAATTTTTATTAAAAAAAGTTATATATATATTATTCAAAAGCATATAGCATACTCAAATAAATTAGAATTTGACTATGCTAAGTTTGTATGATAATATTGAATATTTATATTAATAAATAAAATTTTAAAATTATAAATTTTAGGATGATACATTTATTGTTAATCCAAGATTGCAAGATGAATTATGTCAATTGGATATGGAAATAAATTTTGAACAGGATATGAAAGTATATCTGTTACCAGAACGCCAACGTATCCAAGACTTTTTTTTACTCATGGCCATTTGTAATACTGTTGTTGTATCTAAATATCCACATAAAGATCAGGTGATTATCCAATTTTCTTTTTTATTTATATATATATAATTTATATAATATGAACAAAAGTTACAACTTTTTCATGAATTGTAGGATAATAAAAAATTTCAAAATATATACAGTGATGCCTTGTACTTTTAATTTAATTCATTCCAGGAGGCTGTTCAAATACTGAATCATTTGAAATCTGAATCAATTTTTTCCATTAGAAATAATGGAAAGTGAATTAATCTATTCCCGACCCTTAACAATACTCATTTCAATAAACTTAAAACAACAAATACATGTAATTTAAGGTAAAAATAGCATAATCAAATGCACTAATGATAAATTAAAGCATGAAAACAACAAATAAAATATGTAAATAATGTATAATAAAATGAAAATTGCATTTACTGTTTACACACCATCAACTTTGGCATCTTAAACATGGCTATCAGATTCACCAGGTGTGTACTGTTTTCATGTATTACATGGTCAGTTCAAACTCTGAAGCATTCAAAGCCACAATTATTTGAAGTATACAAGGTACCATTGTATTAATATGTTAGAAAATTTAAAAGAAATAAGACTTGATGAGGTGATATCGATTTTCATATTTATTTCAATAGCTTTGAATTGATTACTGTGACCAATTTTTGGGTTTTGCAGTTTATAATTAACCAATCAAAATATTAATGTAATATATTAAATTTTATCTTAGATTAAAATTTTCAATTATGTTGTAGAATGTAAGATATCAAAACTAAGGGCGTTATAATGGCACAATAAAAATAAAAAACATAATTAAACAAAATAAATTAAATATGTAATGTAAACTGCTGTTGCATATAGAGTAAGCTTATACAGTCAAACCTCCAATAATAGCCAGCTTCCAACAATGGTGGACATTTTTTCAGTAACATTTCTTTTTTGAACAAAAATGAAAACAAAATAGCCTTCAAATAATGTTCACTATCTTCATTCACAGAAATAGTCATGAAATCAGTTAGTTATTATTAATAACATGATTAGTTTAGCTGTTGGCTTTTTACATGGTTACTTGGCTGTGAATGTAAAAAAATAAATAAATAAATAAAACTATATTTGCAATTGTAGACAATTGCAAAAAAAGTTTTTGTGTTAAGGTTCTTCTTGAATTTGGACTTTTTATTATGGACTATGATGAATGTTAAAATATGTAAAGAAAAAACAGTGGGAATAAACAAAAAATTTCAACACTAATGATTACTGTAACTATGTTTTAGGTGTAACTGATTTTAAGAATAATTTGAATAAATTTTTAACTATTACTGTCATCAGGGGATACTTTATAATTTGTTAAATAAGATTTTTTGGAACTTTCCTTTCAGGAGACTGCAACTTTTAGAGGAATAATTAACTAATTAACTACATTGTAAAGATATAGTTAAAATAATTAGATTGAAAAAGGTATTTTTAGTGTATATGATACATAAAACATTTTCAGTATAAAATTTAATTATATTTAATGATGTTAGTTTCTTTAATTTTTATATATATGCATTTTTTTGTTTTGTTTTGTTTTAAAGCCAAATAAGTAAAAAGTTCTTTAATACAAACCAAATACACTTATATATTTAAAATTAGTATATTTAAGAAATTATTGAGTATTTTTCATTTTATACAAGGTTATAAGTAATTTTCTCCTCTAATAAAGATATTAAATTTTTTAGATGAATTCCAGTGGTCTTTTTTTAAACATTCCACCTATTAATAATGAATCCCATGTGTTGGGAAGTGGTGATCTACCACAGGACAAATATACACTTTTGATAAACTCTGTTGATACACCAAGTAATTCTGCAGCTTCTACACCAAATTGGAGACCAAAGCATTTAGCTATACCATCATTTGGTTATCGTTCATATACACCAACTCCTACACCCTCTCCGGCAGATTTCCGTCCAATATATGAAGCAGAAAGTCCAGATGAAATTGCTCTTGTAGAAGCTGCATTTCATTATAATTGCCGTCTTTTAAGAAGAACTCCTGATGCAGCATTAATATTCCTACCAGGTATTTAACTAAGTTTATTAGTAAATAAATAAAATATCAAGATCTAAACTAGATGATAATGGAAAAAATAATAAATTTACTTGAATTATATATTTTTATGATAAAAATGTTTAATTATGTATCTGAAATATGTTAATACAAAAGAAAAAGTAAAAACTACTAAAGAAAAATATAACATAATTGAAATTATATAAACAATAAAGAATCTTAAAAGTAATGAAGTATAGTGAAACCTCTCTTAACAAGCACTTGTCATAACAAGTAATTTGCATATTGTAAAAAATATTACTCACTTAATGAACAACATTTTGCATAACAAGTGACTTAGAGAGAGGAAGTCTTGGATTGTGCTCATGCTACATCAGTCTGTTTAGCACCCATTCTACTAGCATTTTAGTGTTGCTTGTGTTCAAACATATTACATATAAACATCAACAACCATAGCCCATTATATAATAAACACACCAAATGATATGCCAAATTCTTGGGCTAGGTAAAAACTATAATTAAATATTAGAAATTACTGTATTTTGATTTTTTTTTTATTTCTGCAAATTGAATTTGCATTCCAGGTTGGCTTATTCCACGCTAGAAGAAAAGATGAAGATGATTCACGCTCCTTAACAATGTATATTGTATAATTTTCTTTGAATAAACATTATACATAAAATATTTGAGTATTTTTTTCAGCATGGAACGCATTATCGTATTTTACATTAATTTATATGGGAAAATTGTTTTGCTTTATGAGTAACATTCTGGAACGAATTATGCTTGTTAAGTGAGGTTCCACTGTAAATAAAAGTTATCTAATGAGTGAGTACAATACAATAACACATTCAGAGGATTTTTTTTTAATGCATGCATCAAATTTATTAGATTCTACACTTATTGTTTCATAAAAATGATATAAAATAATGCTAATTTATAACTATGTGAAATTTAAGTTCCACTTTTGTTTATATATTTCTCTGTTTTTATTACAAATTACACAATTCTTTGTTTTTTAATTTTTCTTAATTTTATGATGCATATTTTATGCAATATCTTTTGTATAAAATTGTTGGTGAGATTCTAACAGTAAAATTAGTTTTTATATAAAAGTTAAGTTTTATGAATCAAAAAAATTTTATTAACAAGCTTTAAATGTTTATGATTGTATGTAATGAATATATATTTTAAATTGTTAAATTAATAAAAGTATTCTATTTCTAGGTGAAGGTTTGATAGAATTTAAAGTACTTCATATCCTTCCATTTGATTCAGTTCGTAAAAGAATGTCAGTCATTTTGCAGCATCCGTTTACTGGAGAAAAATTGTTATATTGCAAAGGATCTGATTCTACTGTTCTAACTCAGATATCTCATAATCAAACACCTGGTATTTTAATTTTTGAGAGTTATTGTTGTAGAAATAATAATAATAAGTAATGATGACATATAATGAATGTAATATAATTTGTATATTATCTTCAGTTAATTAATTTTTGACTCAAAATCTTTTTGTTGTTGAAAAAAAGATTTTATTTATTTTTTTAAATTTTAGAAATGCAAGAAATTATTATGAAAACACAACAGCATTTAAATAATTACAGTAGAAAAGGATTAAGGATTTTATGTATGGCTAAAAAGGTATTTTAATTTTAAAAAAAGTATTTGTTTAAACATACTAAATATATATTAATTGAGAATATTAATATGATTTAATTTCCAGTTAATACATATTTAATTAGTTTTGATTATTTATGAGTTTTAACAAAACTAAAAAATTGATTTTAATTACATAGTATTGTTTCTTATTATAATATTGACTACTTATTATCTTTAAGTTGTTATAGAATATATGCTGCTAAAATATCTATTTTTTTAACTCTCTCCATCCTATAGACACTGATAGGACTTTTTTTTCTATCTTTTGTTATATTAACCTTTGATCTGGTGTTTCAGTAGTTTTTTGATAATTAGATATTATGTTCACAGATCTATCATACAAGGAAAAATTCTTTTTTAAAGGAGAGTCATCTTTATTGTTTCAACAGAAATGCATTTTGGGCTATGTCCCACATCAGTCTGTTCTAGTCTTTTTTTTTTTTTAATAGCAAGCCATTATGGACTTAGCCAGATGATGAGAGACAAAGCCTGACATATCTGGGTGGATCGCTCCCAAAAAATTCTGGGCTGTTTTGATCCATCCAGATGATCTTGGGATCCCAGAGCAGTAGGCTGTTACCTTAACCACTTGGCCATCCAGTTGTCTGTCAAAACATTAACAGTATATATTCTAGAGTTATATAAAATAATAGTTATGACTGTAATTTTCAGATTATTATTTCTAATTATGTGATTTAATTTTAACAGTTCTAATTTTAAAATATCATAAATATTATATTAAAGTTAATATATAATTATAAGATAACTACAAATGGATTTTTGTTTTTAGATTATTTCTCCTGAAGAATATGAAGAATGGTTATATGAACATAGAAAAGCTGAACTCTCAATGGAGGATCAAGAAGAAAAGCTTCATATATCTGCATGCCAAATTGAAACAAATTTAGAATTATTGGGAGCAACTGGAGTAGAAGATAGGTTACAGAGTGGTGTACCTGAAACCATAAATGCTTTACGTTCTGCAGGAATTGTATTATGGGTTCTTACTGGAGATAAGCAGGTATTAAAAACATGAAATATTTTGCATTTTTAAGATTACTGGAATTAATTTATATTATCTGTTAGAAAAAGTATTAGATATTTCTAATTTATATTATGTTCGATATTAATATCTTATTTTTGTTTTTTTATTATTATTAATATTTAACCATATTTTTAAAATAAAAGATTTGAAACTTAAAAATGCTAAGATCTAAAATCACCTGGATTTGATCCTGGGTTCCCAAGAGCAGTAGCCTTCTGGCCTTCCATATCATGCAAAGCACAGTGTTTTCCACTTTTTGTTGCATTAGTGTTTTCCACTTTTTGTTGCCACACTGTATGTTTGCATTATCTCTATGATTGAAAAAAATGAATTTATGAGGAAAGCAATAGTTTTTATTTTACAGTTACTGTTTTTTTCTTAAATTTTATCAGTAATGTTTTAGATGTTGGATTTGTGTAATAGGGAGCATAAACACAATATTAAGATTGACTGTTTGGCTGTTAGTGTTGGAAGAGGAAACATTTGCTTTGCATTTGATCAAATAGGAAAGCATATTTGAAAATTTATTGAAGCTTCAGAAATATTTTTAATGCACTATATTAATTATTATCAAATCCAATAAAATCCATCTAATAAACAAAGCATTGATAAATATATCACACTAATCTTATAAAGCTTTGCAGATATTTTTTAACGTATCACAAACGTTTTTGGTCCAACCTAGGATCTTTTTCAGGTGGAGTTCTACTAGAGAAAACCTTTTCTGGTGTGATTCTGTTCTATTCCATTTCTGATGTGTTCTAATTTCCTTTCAAATTTTCCTTTTTAATTTTAAATTCCTAACAATGTGTGTTTGCATCAACTGTTATAATTCCAGGTCATACATAGCCTGCCACACCCTCAAGAGTTTTTTTGGTCTTTAAATTGATTGAAAGACCTTGGAATTCTGCTTTAAAAATTTCTAATACCTCCAAATTCCTAAGTTGGTGTATATGATGAGTTTGCCGGGTTATGGTTGCTTGTTATGATTTGGGTGTAATGCCATTTTCACTAGCATATATAGNTACTGTAGGAAACAACAGAGGACACAATTAAATTTTATTTAGATCAGATGAATAAAGATTTAACGGCTTGGAATACATCTCCTTCTAAAATTAAATCATCAGTTTTTAATTCATTGTCAAAGTTTTTTAACAAGAAATCAAAATCAACTAACTGTATTTTAAACACACATCAGTCGTATCGACAAAAAGGAATGGTTATTGATGGTCGTACCCTAAGTTATGTCTTGGACAAAAGGTTGAGTCCTCTCTTTTTGGAATTAGCATCACGATGTCATGCTGTGCTATGTTGTAGAGCAACACCTCTACAAAAGGTTTATTTTTTATGTTTTTTAAAATTTATGTTATAATTTTGTGTCAAGACTATGAAATAATAATTATAGTTGTTATATGAAAATTGATATAATGTAAACATAAAATAATGTAAGTTATATTGATATTTAATTAAATTAAATTAATTAAATTAAGTTATAAAGCAAATAAATTATTATTACAATAATATATTACTAAATAATAATAAAACTAGAAATCACTGTTTAAAATAATTGTAATTAGATCATTAATCAATTGTTGATCTGATGTGACTAACTTCAGTTATTTAATATGCTTATTTGCTACTAGCTTTTCAAACGTAAAAATCAATTCTTATTTAACTTTAATGTCTGTTAAAGTTAATTATTTGCATTAGTTTATTAGTCTTTGAAATGTTTACTTACAATTTACAGTAGTTTAATAGTGATGTCAATTACATTGAATTTAACAACTCTAATCATAAAGACAATATTTAATAAATGGGTTGTAAATTAACATAAAAACATTTGGGTTTTTTCATATTTTTTAACAAAGAAAAGAAAATTTTAAGAAATATTTAAATCCAAGAAGTCAAATAACCCATTATAGCAACCAAATTTTAAAAAAATAATAGAAATTTATATGATGGTTTATTTACAGAAGATAATGGTCTACAATATGAATCTTAAAATCTTAGTTTATAACTCATGAATCTTAGGCTCAAAAAAGGTACTGAATAGAAGAATGCATTTTGTTCAAATAGAATCAAAAACTTAGTATACTTACACACATGTATGTATGTGTATATATACACATATATACACAAGTATAAATGTCTCAAAATTATGTGGAATCTGTAATTTCTAGGGAAATGTAAATTCAGAAATAGGAATGTGTGTCTATATGCTAAATCAATAGTGCTAAATTCAATAATGATTGTCTATTGGCCTTGACCTAATTTTCAGGAAAATGAAATTGACAATGAAAAGAAAATTTAGATTACAAATTTGTATACTAATGCTAGTTGTCAATAAAATCGATGTTTTGAATTCACATATAAAAATACTATAAATGATCATCCAAAATTATCTTTAACAAAAATGCAATAGTCTTCTTCAGTTTAATTTTTTTAGGATAATAATTTCATTCCTTTTTTCATAATTAATGTCATGGTAAAAGAAATGTAAATAAGACTTTTAGAATATTTTAACTCAAACTTTTTTTTCATTAATTATGTAACAGAAGATGTCATTTGATAATATATCAATTACATCTTCATTTGCTTTCTGCAGAGAAAACTAAATAGTTTTTTATCGTCATCTCAATTTTTATTTATTAATTTGAAATGAACTCTTTTCTATAATATTGTAATTTGAATTTTTCTCTTGATTTCTTTTATAATTAGACATTTAATGATTATGTAATCCTCAAAGTTACTTTATTAGTTATTTGGCTTTAAAAGGATTTCAGAATACCTTGTATACTTATAGATTTAGTATTTTGTGAATCTCATATTTACTTTACTAATGTAAAATATTAAGTATATATTGTTTTTTATTTATAGGCTTCAATAATCAAGTTAGTGAAGGAATCATTACATGTTTTAACATTAGCAATTGGTAAGTAGTAAGCAGTTTTTATATTAACATTGTATAATTAATTGATTTTATTAAAGAAAATTTGTCATAATTAAAGACTGGATTTGTTTACATGTGCATTTTTTTCCTTGAATGCTACAATTTTAAAACTTCAATATAAAACATGATTTAGGTCCAAGCAGATCAAATTAAAGTTATCTGATAATGCACATTTTATATGCATTTTTAAAAATATATCTAAAATATGCTTTTGTGATTTTTACATATACTTTGGCAGATTTGACCAATTTCAGGACTAATAAGTGCTTTATAAAATAGCACTTGCAATCATGCAAGTACTATTTTTTTTTTTTCAAATGATCTATAGTCTATTTCTGTTAATGTTGCCAGATTCTGAAATGCTGAATTCTTCATTTAGTTTCAGTTTTTTTTCTTTTTTACATAATTTAGAAAAGGCAATTATTAATAGAAACCTTTTGTGTTCTGTATTTGTTTCATAAGTTTGTGTATCAAAATAAATATAAGTATTATTTTTGTACATTTTTAGGGTGTTTTTTTATCTTATAATTTTTTCCTCAAAAGTTAAATAACTTATAAATGCAGTTTAATTTTATTTTTAATCTATGAAATTCTTTACATAGGTGATGGAGCAAATGATGTAAGCATGATCCAAACAGCAGATGTTGGAATTGGTATAAGTGGTCAAGAAGGAATGCAAGCAGTCATGGCTAGTGATTTTGCTTTGGCAAGATTTCGCCATTTAGAAAGATTGTTGCTCGTGCACGGTCACTGGTGTTATGATAGATTGGCACGGACAATTTTGTACTTTTTTTATAAAAATGCCGTGAGTAATCTTTTAAAATTTCTAAAAGTATAATTTGTACTTTTTTAAATGAAATTTATTATTGTAATGAAATAAAAATGAAACATCAATATTTATATAATACATAATATATATACTGTATTAATCCAAATATTTGTAAATCATTAAAATGACTTTTGTTAAAAATTATTTTAATTTTATGCCATTTTAATGTCTCTGCTGAAATTAATCTTATTTATTATTTTATTCATAACAAAAGTATCTACGAGGGTGTTTCAATAAGTAATGCCTTTTATTTTTTTAAACAAACATTCTAATGTACTGTACATGCAAAAACGTGAATATAGTAAATGAAGTTTGAATTTCTGGCAATACTATGGCATGATAGGAACACTTGTGTTGTCTGTTGGACATTTCTGACAAATAGAGAAAATGCTTGCACACTATCATCATCCATGCTCCAAGAGCAGTGAAGTGTTATTCATTTTCTGTGGGCAGGGGGCAAGAAATGTGAATAACTTCGTGCAAAAATACAGAAAGTGTACAGTGACGATTGCATGGTGCAAAATGTTTAAAAATGATCGTCAGTGTGTGATGGATGAGCACAGGTTAGGTCAGGCATAGCCAACATACGGCCTGTCTAATGAAATTATGTGGCCCGTGATGAATCTTTCAATATTAGCTACTGAAATCTGAATGGCTCAATGAAAAATTCTGACGCCTGAAAAAAAAAAAAAGGTTAACAACTCGCTGTGCGTTTAGAGTTAACCCTCCATTACAAATCTCATAAGTACAGTGTAGAGTGTTGATAAAGCATGATAATGTGAAAAATGTATCTGTAATCTCTATCTACAATTCAGTCTCTATGGGTGACACCACAATGAGATCTCGCACCACCTCAAAATCTTCCTAAGGAAGCCTCTGGTTCGACCCGTGGAAAAAGTTTTCTTTCCAATTCGGCCTGGGGGCAAAAACTGTTGGCCACCCCTGGGTTAGGTCATCTGGTAAGTGCAGCTTTACTTCAAACATTCAGTCACAGCTGTTCATCAAATGATTCAAAGCAATCGCCATATTTGCTAGATGCTGTCAGAAAAATTGCTTGGTGTCCTATTTGGTTCTTTGAAGAAATTCCTGGCTGGAGAGAGGTTCCATTCCGACGAAGAAGTTAAATCAGCTGTCCACAGGCAGTTGTATGGCCAGGAACTGGCATATTCTATAATGTAGGCATCTTCAAGCAGGTACACTGCTGGTTGAAGTACTTGAACCTGATTGGTTCCTATGTTGAGAAGTAGCCTAATCCACATATTTCATTTCCTATATTCTGTATTTTCCATATGCATTAAAACTTTTGCTTAAAACAATAAAGGGTGTTACTTATTGAAACCCCTTCATATATAAAGAAAGTTTTTCCAAAATTTAATAAATTGAAGTTCAAAAAATTTCTGAATGTATCTTTGAAATATTAAATAATATTTAATATGCAAAATAGAAAATTCTGTATGATGAAATGCATATTAAGTAGAAATCATTTTATATATATCATTTTTATTTTTAAATAATTATTTTTAAAAATATTTCTTAAAATTTTAGTTTAAGTGGCTCCAATAAAGAAAATAAATGAATTTTCATGTTTAGATATTGTTAGAATTTATCATTTTTAATTTTAATTACTTTTTAATTTGTGATATCTGTATTTCCACAAACTTAAATATTTCTAATATTTTTGATAAAATTTGATAAAATTTTGACTTCAAAATTTTTGTCAAAAGTTCTGATTATTTAAATTTAAATGAAATAAAGATATTGCTTCATAAAGTAAAACAAGAAACAAATAACTTTTTTAATAGCTTCATGACATAGATTTGTAGCTGAAAGCAAATGACTGAGTCCGAAGAATTGCTCGGTGTTGATAAAATTAAAAGTTTATTATTTACAGTTAATACCAATGTTTCCAAAGAAACAATTGTACACACTTAAGAACTAGGAAAACACAAAGATACTTGGGACTACCTGTAACGATATTACTGATTGATTCCCATGTGCCGAGAAAACAGAGCACTTATTCTAATTTATGTCTAGCTTAACTAATTTATAAAATAAAGGACCCTAGATCAAGATGGGATTGATAAGAATTAGAAGATTTGATTTTTGATAGAAAAAGAAAAGGGTCAAAAGGTGGTGACTGGCAAAAAAATAAACCTTGAGTCCGTTATTCCAGAGAGATCTTCTTTCTGTACTTGCTGACATCTAGGTCTTTTCCTTCCCAGCTCTTCTCTCCAAAAAGTGATGATTTTGCCCACTTTCCTTTCTCTATCCTCTTGTGCCAGTCCCCTTTGACTAATCCGGTGTTGCCCCTTTTTCCCTAGCGACCCATTGGATCATTGGGTCAACCAATTACAGTGGGTCAAGAACAGAGGCCAGAAGTGAAGTTTATGAAAGAAAAATGGTGGAAGAAAGAGAAACAAAAAGAAAAACAAGGCTCAACCAAGCCACAGATTCTTTCTTACTTTCATTTATTCACATAGTTAATTATTGTATAATAATTTATAATTAAATACTTAGTTTGTACAAAAACTACACATATTAAAGATCATTTTTAATAAATAAAAATATTTGTATTGTTATATATGTTATACTGAATCCAGGAATGTTACTCATTTTGTAAAACAGGCAAAAATTTATATTATTCATGAAATTAGCACACCCAAGTGTTGAATTTGACAAATTTTCTATTTCTACTTTAGAATTGCCTATTTTGCAAAATGGCAATTTTATATTTTTGAATAAGATATCAACTTTTGTTTTGCTCATTAAGTTATGGCTTAGAAAATAATAGACAAAGATTTATTTTAGTTTTGTTTTCTTACCTGAAGATTACTTAATGATATTTTATACTTTCTAATGATGGTTATTACTTACATATTACATTAAATGGTAAATTAGGACTTAAGCATATATAATATAAAAATAAATACTCACAGCAAAATCTACAAAATTAGAAACTCCAAACAACAGTAAATGAAAATGAAACTCCAAAATACGCAAGTTCATAAATTTACTATGTTGCTAATACCACTTGAAGCAATTGCCAATTTTATGAATTTGGCAAGAATATTGCAAAATGCATGAACATAGCACACCAACTACCAATTTCATAAAAACAAATTTTTGCTTAGTTTACAAAATTTTAGTATTTAATAGGCAAAATGGAAAATTAAGTAGAAATTTTTATTAACTTATTTTTAATTATTTTCAACTCTGTTTAAAATAATGTAATTCCCAGATTTGGTGTAACATATTGAAATTTTATACTTTACAAGAAAAAGTAATTATTATTTATATTTACAGAATCTCATTTTTGTTTTATTTTGGTTCCAATTCTTTTGTGGTTTTACCGGGAGTGTTATGATTGACCAAATGTATTTAATGTTTGTGAATGTACTTTTCACTTCAATATCTCCTGTGGTTGTTGGTATATATGATCAAGATTGTCGGGATTATTTACTGCTGCAGAATCCTGGAATTTATTCCAGAGGAAGGAATTCAGAGGTTTGTAAATATTATGTCATACTAAACTTTAATATTTTTATTCTATAAACATCATTTTATATTTATAATTTATCAGTTCATTCTTACTCAATATATCTTTACATTTACCTAAAAGTTTTCTAATATGAATATTTATTTTAATACAGCTGTACACAAAATATTCTTTTATTGTTAATATGGTGGATGCCATCTACCAAAGCATTATTATATTCTTTGTACCATATGTTGTAAGTATTATTTCATTTTACTTTCAGATAAATTTTTTTTCTGTAATTTGCAATAATATTAATTAATTTTGATATAATTCAGATATATTATGATAGTACTTTGGGCATTTGGGAATTTGGTACTATAACGTTTACTGCATGCGTTGTTGTTCAGTTGGTTCATCTAAGCATAGAAACTAAATCTTGGGTAAATAAATCTCATTATTTTTATAAATCTCACAAATTATATTTTTACTCAATAAAATATTACTGTTATTAATTATGTGATTATTCTTACTTATAATATAATTTCTAATTCTTTTACAGACTTGGATACATTTTATTACCATAATTATTAGCTTGGGACTTTATTTTGCTTTTGCTGTTGTATATAATTCAGTATGTATAAGCTGTCCTGGTCTTCAAAATCCATATTGGGTCATTCAGCATTTAATGAAAACTGCAAATTTCTGGTTTTGTATCTTATTTGTTACAGTCACCTCTTGTTTACCTAGGTAAGAACCACTGTTTTGATTGAAATTGATTAGTATTGATTATAAATACAGTTAAACTTCCATATATTGAATTTCCTGTAGGAAATGAAGAGAATTCATTATGTTGATAATTTATTAAATGAAAAATACACTAGTAATGAAAAGAACACACAATAAACTGTTAACTGAAATTTAAACTTAATTACCATTCAATGACATTTTACAATGTGTGATACTTTTATTTATCACAAAAATATCCCCGTGATTGTATTAAGCAAAACAAAGTGTTGGTGTGTGCTTTTTTACATGAAAAAATCAAATTAACTTTAATTAAATAATGAAAAATTTTATCACAAATGCTATCTTAAAGCTTTGATCATTATTTAAACTATCCTTGTATATGGATATTTTGACTTTGTTGTGGATACAATACAGTATAGTACATTTATTTGTACTATACTGTATCTATAATATTAGAATATAATATCATATGTATATGTTACTGTGAAAGACCGAAATTAGTGAATGTCGATATTCTCCGGTGAATGTCGACACATACAAAATACGTCGATGAAAGACCGAATATTTAGTTAAATTATTATACATTCGAACAATCGCCGGCGTATGTCGACAAACACAGATAAGTTTTGGTGGAGGTTGAAATGACACCCAAAAGCCAATGTCGACAGAGAGGCGATAGTCTGTCACCATATTCTTCTCCATTTCCTTCAGCTCAAATTGATGATACTGTACGAATACAAGTCCCTGATGTCGACAGTGGCCGTACAGATGCCCGAAATGTGTTGGCGGTTGTTGTTAGAATAGAAGACTCCGACTTTTATAAATTAGCAAACAAAAATAGTACCCTGAAACAGCTTTATACCCGTAATCAGTTCGTAATTTGTAAAGAAAAGTTACTTTCCATAGATGAGATTTCTTCTTGAAATATCGCTGAGAGAAGCAGCTGCAGCTATTTGGAAAAGTGGATGACAAGACTATACACGCTGTCATTGCAAAAAGAAGTGTTCCACGAATAAATGCAGTTGTAAAAGCAAGGGACTCTTGTGCAATTCAAGGTGCCATAACAGTTTAAGTTGTTGCAATAAATAAGATTGTATAATGTTAATCACATAATTTATGTGTAAGTTTATTATTGTATT